CATACATGACGTGGGCGGAGGCCCGCCCAATGGGCGGGGCGCGCTGAAGAGTACATATCGTACAGCGTTTTCTACAAGTCCACATAATTCGGGCCGGGGAAGTCTAGATGAGCCGGAAAAAGGTGGATGGAGGTGGGTGGAGGAGTGAAGGCCACCTGTCATCGGTGGGCGGGGCACAACCAAAGTGGGCGGAGTTTGCGACGAAAATCCATAACTCGGCTCCAAGAAGTTTCGGAGACTGGGAAAAGGTGGATGGAGGTGGGTGGAGAGAAGGAGTTTGATTGCCCTTGGCAGTCAGTGTTTGCATCAAAGTGGGCGGAGTTTGCCAGAAACTTCATAACCCCTCTGCCAGACCTAAAACTCGGTTCTAAGAAGTTCTGGAGCTTGGGAAAAATGTGGATAGAGGTCTGCGATGGAAGCGAGGGAAACTGCTGTAAGTGGGCGGGGCATGACCAAAGTGGGCGGAGTTTGCGACGAAAACCCACAACTCTTGGCTCTTGCTCCAAGAAGTCCCGGGAGCCGGGAAAAGGTGGATGGAGGTGGGTGGAGGAGTGGAGGCCAGCTGTCATCGGTGGGCGGGGCTTGACCAAAGTGGGCGGAGTTTGCGACGAAAATTCATAACTCGGCTCCAAGAAGTCCCGGAGGCCGGGAAAATAGTGGAAAGAGGTGGGTGGAGGAGTGGAGGTCAACTGTCTTGGTAGGCGGAGCATGACTAAAGTGAGCGGAGCTCGGCTGCAAAACTAAAAGTCGGTTCAGAGATAGTCCGGAAACCGAAAAAAGGTGGATAGAAGCCAGCGAAGGGAGAGAATTCAATCTTCATTCGGTGAGCGGGGTATGACCTAAGTGGGCTGGGTTTGTTGCCAGACCTATAAAGTGGTTCCACGAAGCTCTAGGAACTGGGAATAAAGTAGATGGAGGCCGGCAAAGGGAGGGAAGTCAATTTTTATTTGTGGTTGGATGCGCTAAAGTGGCCGCGTTGGCCGCCAAGCATATAGATTGCTCAGGGTCAGTTCAGAGACCGGGGAAACGGAAGCTATTAGCAAGGAGAAAAAGATGGGTCGAGATGCACCGAAATAGGCTGAGTTCATGACGAGATTTATAAATCGGTCTAGAGGCAGTCCGGAGACCGGGAAAAAGCGGATAATAGTTGCGAAGAAGGAGAGGTTAAGAGCTATTAATTATGGAGCGGATAGAACCTGGGTCAAATATTCGTAGTTTAGTCGGCCAAATTGGGTATTTACGAAGCATCACCCCATATCGCCGCAGAACTGTGTTGCGCGCGCAACGCGGCTGCGCCAACTGGTTATTATAATATTAGGCATGATTGGTACTCACTTCCATTTATTGCAGCAAAATTCTTGAACCACAAATTATGAAACTGTAAAAAATTCGATATAGGTCCCACCTTGGTCTACCTATACAAGTACCTAGCTCACTTGAAGGTCGCCTTCCGTGGCAATTACGTCATTTATGGGGTTGAGCAAAAATAATCCGCCTTTTTTTCAGGCTCATGGCTCTTTCATTTTTTGCTGATTATTATTCGAAGAAAATATGCAGTCTTAACTCAGTGCTTCTGCATCTGTTCTCGGAATCAATGAGGCCTGGGATGAAGGCACGGTTGCAGAGAACACTATTCGAGAGCGTTTGTTGATCGATTTGCCATTGGCCAATAAGAGATTACCTCTACCCGTCCCTTAGGACTTGTTGACCTCCTCGTAGACAACTTCTTTACCTAGAGCATTTTGCGTTGACATGTGGTGGCAGCCATCCATCCTCGCATTCCAGGCAGCGCCAGCCTTCCATTCGGTCGTTCCTCTCCTCATCGAGACATCCCTCACATTCGCAGCTGATGTTGAATTTTTTCTAAATAGATATCACGAATATATAAGCTAACTTTCAAAGGCAAAAAAGGAACAAATTTACCTTCAAGATTTCGCGACGCATTTTTCTGGGTTCGAGAGGGAAGTGTGTATGAACGCCTAGCTTCATTCAGAGAATGCGGTACATGCGACAAATCAGTTGGTACCATGATTGCAGTAGTACCCTGGAGCAACCTGCTTATTGTCTCATGAACCCCGATTAATGGTCCAATAAAGTTGAAGTCACAGGAGACACTCCATGCAGTGTATTTGATTTCAGCTGTCAACGCTTATCCGTTTCAAGGCCGCGTGAAATTTGGGGCATTTTCTGCATACTGGCAGCGTTACACCAATGGAGTGTCATGATATCCCTAAGCCAATTTTTTTCAAATATTTGTTTCTGGAACTTTTTTTTCTATTTTTATACATGCCGATGTGATTTCGCGAATTCATATGTACAATATATAAAAAGAAACAGAGAAAAACTGATTCCAAGGCAACCACACAATACCTTCAAAATAAGTGTAACGAGAAGCAGTAAAAAGCATCGAAACTTAACAGATCAATGCTTCGTAGCGGCTCCCCCACTTCCTTCACACTTTTGGGTGCGACCGCGGCAAGCGCGGCCGAGTTGATAGTCCCGCGAATTGTGCTGATGGGGCCAGGGTCAGTCCTATCATTGTTAATTTTTCAAAAAATTTTACGACTCCCCTCCCCCAAGGTGGACTTGGTATGACCCCTTTTCGACCCTTGGGGGGGGGGGGGGGTATGCTGAAACGGCGAATTTTTCTCCCATGCGCTCCCAACTCACCTAGCCTACTACTCGTGAAAACTCCACTTTCACCACAAACTCACATGTATTTCAGCGACTGAAGCGGATACGACCCCCCTCCTACAAACTCAACCAGGTACGACCCCCCCGTTGTTACTAGTAACAACGTAGGGTTGACCCTGGATGAGGCGTTTTCAACAGACCGTACCGTTCCCGAAACTATCAACTCGACCGCACTTGCCGCGGTTCCCCTCCCCCCTCCCCCCCCCCCCCAACGTGTGAAGAAATTGAGGAGCCAGCACAGCACATTGTAGCTACGCTAGCTTTTCCTAAAAAACTCCAGAAGTAATTTTTTCCGAAATTTTCGACTAGACTCGAATAGTCAATCCCCCAAATTTGTTGCACTCTCCTTCCCTATCATTTTGTCTCGGGATTTCCCTGTAAAAACTTATTTTCCCGTGCTGACTGGGATGCGAAGTGATTTACAAGATCTCGTGCTCTGGAATGCGCCATTTCATCGTCTGTGATGAGCAGTCACAGTGGTGGTTGGAATCCTGTCCTTTCCTGCTTGACCCCCTCAGATTTTTCTTACTGATACTTTAGCTTGCGACCCCACCCCCGTTGATCATTGCGTAACGGGCGGTTGGCCCTGCTAACAAGTCACCATATCAAAGCCATCATACACCCTAAAAAGAATACTCACCGAAACACACAAGTCACATTCGGCTTACATGAATGGCCTATGACACTGAGCCGAATATAAAGTGAAACGCCAATGGGCAAAGTAGATTCCGTGAACAACGGAAAATGGTTCACCCAAGCCGCCATGAACAAACTGAAATCATTCAAATCAAAAGAAAATTCAAAAGAATAGTAAAGTTCGAAGGTTAATGGTCATCATCGGCGCGAACCTATGAAAGGAAGACCTCTTTGATCATTCAAAAGCATCAACTACCCAGGCAGAAGTCGTGTGAACGTCTCTCTTCGCTCTATAGGACAAACTCCCAAGGGACAATCGCAAGTGTGGCACTTCCGTGCATGGGAAAGCGCCCGACAAGAGCACTGGGACGGTCTACGGACAACTTGAACTCGGTCCTTTAAACCGCTTCGAATTGATGCCTTCGCCTGCGCTCTCTCGCCTGAACAGCGGCTTATGATTACTGTGATCTGATGCATTCAAACTTTGCCACAATATGATTGGCTCACCCACTCCGGAGTCCCTCTCCCTCCAAGGCTTAGTCCTAGGGCTCTCACCTTCTTCTTGGGATTTGGAGCCGAGCCAGGCGCCGTTCTCTAATCGTCTGTGCTCTGGCCTTTCGCGGCAGAGAACACAGGGGAGAGTTCAAGTAGTCACGTAATCCACTGGGACCTTTGCTGCAGCAGCTGCAATTTTTCCCGCCCGCAGCAAGCTGTTTAGCTCCCCTAAATTTGCTGCACTCTCTCGCCGTCTTCGCGCTGGGACTGGTGCCAGAGTCCGCGATTCGCTCGATTCGTGCGATGGACACGAACTCAAACACCCACCTCGGCTCCTAATTGCCTTGGCACAAACGCATTGCCCTTAATCCGAGCGTTTTCAACAGACCCTTTTCCTCTTTTCTTTACTGCCGGCCCATTTCGCACCATACGTTGAAATTAGTGTGCAGGAACCGCACCATTAAGGTCCTGAGGTATGGCTTTAAGCTATATAGGGCATGTAAACGCACAAGATCTATTCATCAGTATAGTTGCCGTGACGTTGAGCCTTGCTGAACACTGGAGCGTGCAATATGACCGGCGCACGTGTAAGAGGTCCGCTGGGGCCGGGTGCAGCGGCGAAGGGATGGATCCCAGTCCATACGTGTTTTGGGGAGCCGGGTTTACTGCACGCGGCCCCTGATCGGAGCTAAGCTTGGACGAGCAGTATAACACCTAGCTCCGAGACCAATCGGATGCAGCCCTCCAAATTTTTTGCGGCGGTCGCCTTATCGCTCAAGTTCCCGCCCCACAGCTTACGCGGCAAAGGGACACTGTGCGCTCCTCGAACCTCGCAGTGGAGCAAACTCCAGCCAGTCGCATTGCCCTAGCTGCCTCGTCTCCATGTCGTCTCTTTCTATGGCGATGGCGCTCCGTAGTTGACGATCACATTGTCTCGTCAAGATCGCTAATGTGACTCAGCAGTAGAATACAGAGATATCTTGCGAATAGCACGCGTTTCCACCAAGATAGGCTCAGCAACAACAAACAATTTATTAAGTGACTCGCTTCTAGAACAGGTAAGGGTTAAAATGATGTAATGTACCGACAGAAAAGAGAATAGTGCAAAATCAAGAAGAATGTAGTACTGACGCTCCATCGATCCTTTATATCCAATTTTGGCGCGCGATCGTAGATCATTCCCTGGTCCATCCTGATCTCTTTGACGTCGTCGTCACTCCGGGCTCAGCATGGCGTCCTCCTCCGCGTGGCTCCGGCTCGCTCATCATCTGCCACAACTCTCTCTGGGTGTCCTCAACGCGTGAACGGGCGACGAACTTCAAATCCGGGACATTGCAAACTGCGCGATGGTGGAATCCTTTATCCTCCGGGCATAAATCCTCAAAGACCGTGCCTTTAAGTCTGAGGCAGTACCAACATTTCCTGAGGCGATATCTGCATTTGTGTTTCTCTGGACCCTCGAGGCAGTGGAGGCACCATTTCTTTTGAAGTATAATCTCGTAACGCGTCTTTCCATTCCGAAATTGAGGGCAAGCATCAGAATAGTGAATGCCCACTGCACCACAAAACGCGCAGTCCCTGTCACGAGGGATTCCCCGAGACTGGTCGTGTCTGTCTCGGTAAGGAAAACGTGCGAAATCTGATTCCATTCTTCTCAAATTTTCACGCAACACTCGAATGCGACCAGCGATTATTGGTTCAGAATACTCGACTCTTCGGGTTTTGGGTGCCGGTTCTTCGTCCTCGTACCAGTTTCCTCCGCTCCTTTTCGCATCCGTGACCTCGCTCACCATCCTTTTCCAGTGGCCTTCGTCGTCGTCTTCTTCATCTAGATCGACGTTTTCATGGTCTTCTTCGACTTCGTGTAGATCAGGCTCCATATTCTGATTATCTCCACCACACTCCACGACAGGCGTCGATGCTGTAACCACTTCCACGGTCCTCATATTGGACTTGATCGAGGCAATCTCCAAAGTCTGGGACTCGACTTTCTTCGTCAACTCGTCAACATCCGAACGGCGGCTGAGATGCTCTTGCAATGACTCGATTTCCCTTTTCAGGATCCTCTGCATTTGAAAACTCGTGAGACGATCTGGCTCAGTCAGCTCTTTCTCTTGACGCAGCAACATCGCCTTCATATCCTCAATTTCGATGTTCAGGATGTCACACTGGTTTTGGATTAACTCGACGATTGCTCTCGGTCCAAAAGCGTAGTCGCGCTTAAGTTCGAGCCAGTCTTGTCGCTGGAAGCCAGAAACGTCTCCCCATTCCGTCATGTACTCGTGCCAGGAATCCATGATGAGGTAACGGGTTCCCATGCGAAGGATTCTTTCCTTCGTCACCTCCGCCTGGCGCAATAACTGAGTTGTTAGGCGCATCTGTTCTGCAGCCGGTGCGCCAATGAAGGACTCCTCGTTTTTGTGATGGTTCCACTGGGCGACCAGCGTCGTTGCAATCTTCTTCTGGCGTTGAAGTGATATCGCTGCCATGTCGATTTCCGCACGTATTTGCTGCTGATCATGTACTCGAGCCCTCGTAAGATCGATAAGAAGCCTGATATCTCCATCTTCTTCCTTACTCGCGAGCCTGAAATGTGATAATATACAAATCATGAACTTTTGGCTTGTTTCAAAGAGAACTTTGCTGTTTGATATAAATTTGGAAGTTTCAAATTTCCAACTATACGCGTGATTTTCTTGTAGGAAAGAAGAGAATTTAGGGATATTTTTTCGCAGGAGTTGCGTGCCAGAGCTTCCTGTAGTTTCAAGGAACATTTGCTAAAAACGCGAAAAGACTGTTCCTCTACTGGGACAATTCGAGGATGTGGCGACCCAGACGCGTAGTGACGAACATGGAAATACTAGAGAATGAATTAAATTTACAGCCACTGAAGGAGCAGTGCATTTGAACCTTTGTACTGCCGAGGTGATATTATTGGTCTTATCGCCGACCCTACATATCACGCTTGGGTAGGTGCGCTTAGTTACAGCTTCTTCTTCTGCGGTACCCATAAAACTCTCAAGTACTCGGAGTGCATATGGTCGAAAGTGGACGCGTTGAAATTGGTCCCACAAATTCCAAAGGGAACAGTACTCGCCTGGCTCTCCATAAGATATCTTCTGGGAGGATGCCTCCAAATATTGGCTCCTAACGCACAATTGGGAAACCAGAGAAAATCTATCAATGATTCTCTCGTTAACGCGTATACTTATATTTAAATGTGACCTTCCCTTTTTCGTATAGTAAGTTCCAGCCGTTCGTATTATATGATAATTACCGTATTTCCATTTATTTTCTTTGAGACAACGTACATGAGATAGAACGCGTATCCCTTTAACTACTCTAGGGTTACTCAATTTTGACCTAGTTTCTCCCACTGTTACAAAGGGATTATCAGAGGGAGGAAGTACCAACTCATGCACGAAGTGTCTTGTAGGTTCTACGGCTTGGGCAACTGCTGCCGATAGGATCATGGTGAATATACTTAGCATTAGGACTACTGTAAAGTGATGGGGTATTACTCGTGCTATGCTCACAAAGTTTTCTGAATAGTTCACGCGTTGCTTTGAACGAAAGTTATAACGTGAGCCTATTTCTCCCGTGTGATTGTCTTTAATTCTAGAGTTTTCCTCCGATGTTTTTGCATCGTCCCGACTTTCTTCTCCTCGTACCTCGTCTTGAAGCTCGTCGTCAATTTCTAAGGGGACTAGCAGGTTCACAGGCCGTCGGATTCTACGATGAGATGGGAGAAGAACAACTGCTTCTCTTACTATTCCGTTGCTGTTTGAAACTAAAGTTTCGATTCGTCCCATTTTCCAGCAGTGCCGTGGTTGAAGTGCGTCGCTGATGAGGACTACTTTACCTATCTTCGGTACGTAGCTGCTTCCTCGTTGCTTCCCAACTTCTCGTTGGTGACGTTCTCGTAGCGAAGTTAAGTACTCTGTCTGCCATATTTGCCAAAACCTTTCTGGCATCTCACAAGAACTTTTCAAGGCTTCCATCACTTGAATTTTTGATTGCAGTGTCACGCGTTCTTCTGCGGAGATGTAAGTCGGATCTTCACTGATTTCTGAACTCGAATTCAAGAGAAGCGGAATTTCGAAGTTGTTCTGTAAGAAGTCGATCGGTCGTAATGTGCTGTTCTCGCGCGGTCCTGATTCAGTAGTATATACCAGTGGTCTAGTGTTGAGCATCGCTTCTATCTCCGTAAGAACAGTGATGAGCTCCTCATGGGTTGGAACTGACCTTCCTTGGAATTTGTACAGAGCTAATTTAACTGATCTTATTAAGCGCTCATAGACTCCTCCCTGCCAGGGTGCAAAAGGGGTGATGTATTTCCAGCGAATTTCGTTGTTGCTTATCAGTTTCGCGATCGTTGAGTCGTTCTGAACATTTCTTATGTACTCTTGCAGAACGGAATCGCCAAGCGTAAACGTCGGTGCGTTGTCGCTTGTTATAGTTGATGGGAATCCTCTTCTTGCAAAGAACCTACGAAGCATTTGTATAAAGGCGTAGGTGGAAAGATCCGAGGCAACATCCAGATGAATCAAACGTGTTGTTAGGCAGGTGATAATACAGCCGTAACATTTTCCCATGGATCCATCTTCTTTTCTGATGGTAAGGGGTCCAAAATAATCCAGTCCGACATGATCGAATGGACGTGACCGTAGTACGCGACGTGATGGCAAGTCGCTCTGCTCGGGGTATTTAAATGGAAGATTGTTGAACCTTTGGCACTGAATACAGCGGCGAATAGCTACTGTGACTTGCGATCGTAGCTTGGGGATCCAGTAGTGCTGCCGGATAAGTGCCATTGTATGGTTCGTCGTAGGGTGACCCTTGCTGTGATAGTCGTTGATAAGCAATTTTGATAGCCAAGACTTTTGCAAAATAAACATAGGGAACTTGGCGTCGTCCTTTATCCTCCTCTTTAAGTGTACTTGATGCTTGTCTTTCATGAAGCCGATTTTGCATTAACAGACTGTGTTTATAAAGTGGATCAGCTTGCAAACGATTGCGAACGATGTCGACTGCTACTAAGTAAACTAAGCTGTCATAATTTGTTGTTGTCTTAAGCCCTTTTAGAACAGCAGGCAGACTTGGGATCAGCTCTTGATATTGAGTTGACCGGACTCGTGAGATGTATTGAGGGGATTTGGGTAACGTGAATTTGTCATCATGAACTTCAGTCGTACAATGCTTACATCCAACAATTAAACCCCAATCACCAGTTACATCTAAACCTGATAGATCAAGCTGTTGAAGATGAGAAGTTCCGCCAATGAAAAGTTCCTGGAACATAATCGAATAATTGGTTGAGCCTCGTGCAAACAATGATGCCATATCCGTGGAGAATTTGACATATGTTCGGAAGGAACTTGTACTGTTTGATAAGGCACCGCCTGAAGTGCGAAGATCCCGGAGTCTGTGTGTTATACTTCCTCGATAAGAATTTTGGATTAAATTTTCAATCTGATCCAATTCTAAATCTATACGTTCAGACATTAAAATTGAGACCAACGTTTTCAAATTTGTATTTTCTAAAGAGTCACACCATCTGAGGGTCAACAACAGTTTCTGGATGGCACGCAGGTTTCCAACACTTGTGTCAATGTAGACAACACCTTTCTTGATCTTTACTTCTGTATAACTGCCTGAATATGGTAAGTATGGCCCTCGAGTGTTGAAGCGTGACCTACCTGGTTCAGCAGCAGCCAAAGTAAACAGAATAGTACGCTCTCGATACTGAAAGGGGATATTGTCGATTCGATCCAATCGAGTTTGGTGAAGGAATGATGGCATTGTCGTACCAACAATATCCACACCCCACATGTAGTTTCGCATTAATGAAGCAGCATGAGTTGGACAGACACATTCCGATGAAACACCGGGCAACTGTTCAAGTATATTTGAATAATACGGACCAGGACGTTGACATCGTGAGAAGATCATGTTGATAAAGTTTTGTTCAGCAAATCTCACGTTTTCTTTCATTTGGAACATTTTTGATGGACTTAAAAGGAAATTTAGTGACGTTGAATGCGAAAACCTTCCGATGATCTCGTAAGCCTCCCTCAAAGCAGTGACACTGTAAAAGACATTTAACAGTCTCGGGTTGCACGGACATATGTTCATGAAATCCTCAATAAGCTTCATTCTTTGATCCGAGTGTAAGTTTTTGAAGGCTGTTTTTACTAACTTGTTTTTAACATAACTTTCCGTAAGCTCGCCTTCAATCATGCGCTTTACAATATTAGTTCCTCTAACAGGTAAATCCAATGGCAACCCTAATGGATCCTCAATCAACAAGAGATAATCTCTTCGACCTGGCCTAGGGATATGATTGGTTAGGAAACATCCGATGTCACGAGACCTGTTTGCATACTGCCACAAATATAGAGAGTCTGATAACGGATCAGGAGTTCCTCTAATCATGAAATCTAGGTATTTCGGCACAGGTAAAAGTCCTAAACTTTGAGTTGTTAGCAACAACGCGCAAAGCCCACTTTCATCTGCCTTTTCAAAATCTATTGGTCTAATTTTTCCTAATTCGTCAAGTATGTTGAAGACTGTCAACAGGAATGACGGATCTGCAGACTTGTCTTTCGCAGCTATCGCGACTCCACTCGAAATAATCGTGCTTATGGACATTTCAAAAGTTTGTAATGGTGAAGTTACCATCGAACCAGAACGGAAAACCGACTTTAGTGGAGATTCAAGTTCGACGCCAGCTTGAAAATACTTTTTGGAATATTCCAGAAGAGTTTTTGATGACCAGGATTCCAATGCCTTTATTGGTATTCCAAATCTTGTAGCAGTTTCAACCAGCAGAATTTTGAATTCCTCGACATATTCATCTGCAGTTTTACCTCGCATTACTGGGTGATTGCGCGGCGGAATTCGAATCACCACCACCTGATTGTCTCCTTGACCCAAGATGTTAATCATGACATTTGACCTAAGGGCTACATAGGTAATCAATGAAATCGTTATAAGGGTCCAGCCCTTCTGGCGCATGCCCTCAAAAAAACATCTATTTCCGAACCAGGCTGAACTGCAGGGTATTGGTAATCCATCATGTAAACAAGCATGATGCGGCCTAATGTGGACTCAGCAGTAGAATACAGAGATATCTTGCGAATAGCACGCGTTTCCACCAAGATAGGCTCAGCAAGCAACAAACAATTTATTAGTGACTCGCTTCTAGAACAGGTAAGGGTTAAAATGATGTAATGTACCGACAGAAAAAGAATAATGCAAAATCAAGAAGAATGTAGTACTGACGCTCCATCGATCCTTTATATCCAATTTTGGCGCGCGATCGTAGATCATTCCCTGGTCCATCCTGATCTCTTTGACGTCGTCGTCACTCCGGGCTCAGCATGGCGTCCTCCTCCGCGTGGCTCCGGCTCGCTCATCATCTGCCACAACTCTCTCTGGGTGTCCTCAACGCGTGAACGGGCGACGAACTTCAAATCCGGAACATTGCAAACTGCGCGATGGTGGAATCCTTTATCCTCCGGGCATAAATCCTCAAAGACCGTGCCTTTAAGTCTGAGGCAGTACCAACATTTCCTGAGGCGATATCTGCATTTGTGTTTCTCTGGACCCTCGAGGCAGTGGAGGCACCATTTCTTTTGAAGTATAATCTCGTAACGCGTCTTTCCATTCCGGAATTGAGGGCAAGCATCAGAATAGTGAATGCCCACTGCACCACAAAACGCGCAGTCCCTGTCACGAGGGATTCCCCGAGACTGGTCGTGTCTGTCTCGGTAAGGAAAACGTGCGAAATCTGATTCCATTCTTCTCAACTTTTCCCGTACGACTCGAATACGACCAGCGATTATTGGCTCAGAATACTCGACTCTTCGGCTTTTGGGCGTGCCGGTTCTTCGTCCTCGGACCAGCTTGCTCCGCTCCTTTTCACATCCGTGACTTCTCCCACCATCCTTTTCCAGTGGTTTTCATCGTCATTTTCTTCGTCCAGTTCCACAGTTTGACGGTCTTCTTCAGCTACGCGTGGATCAAACTCGATATGCTGATCATCTTCACCACACTCCACGATAGGCTCCGGCGCTGTAACCACTTCCACGGTCCTCATGTTGGACTTGATTGAAGCAATCTCTAAACTCTGTGACTCCACTTTCTTGGTAAGCTCGTCAACATCCGAACGGCGGCTGAGATGATCTTGCAACGACTCGATTTCCCTTTTCAGGATCCTCTGCATTTGAAAACTCGTGAGACGATCTGGCTCAGTCAGCTCTTTCTCTTGACGCAGCAACATCGCCTTCATATCCTCAATTTCGATGTTCAGGATGTCACACTGGTTTTGGATTAACTCGACGATTGCTCTCGGTCCAAAAGCGTAGTCGCGCTTAAGTTCGAGCCAGTCTTGTCGCTGGAAGCCAGAAACGTCTCCCCATTCCGTCATGTACTCGTGCCAGGAATCCATGATGAGGTAACGAGTTCCCATGCGAAGGATTCTTTCCTTCGTCACCTCCGCCTGGCGCAATAACTGAGTTGTTAGGCGCATCTGTTCTGCAGCCGGTGCGCCAATGAAGGACTCCTCGTTTTTGTGATGGTTCCACTGGGCGACCAGCGTCGTTGCAATCTTCTTCTGGCGTTGAAGTGATATCGCTGCCATGTCGATTTCCGCACGTATTTGCTGCTGATCATGTACTCGAGCCCTCGTAAGATCGATAAGAAGCCTGATATCTCCATCTTCTTCCTTACTCGCGAGCCTGAAATGTGATAATATACAAATCATGAACTTTTGGCTTGTTTCAAAGAGAACTTTGCTGTTTGATATAAATTTGGAAGTTTCAAAATTTCCAACTATACGCGCGTGATTTTCTTGTAGAAAGAAGAGAATTTAGAGATATTTTTCGCAGGAGTTGCGTGCCAGAGCTCCTGTAGTTTCAAGGAACATTTGCTAAAAACGCGAAAAGACTGTTCCTCTACTGGGACAATTCGAGATGTGGCGACCCAGACGCGTAGTGACGAACATGGAAATACTAGAGAATGAATTAAATTTACAGCCACTGAAGGAGCAGTGCATTTGAACCTTTGTACTGCCGAGGTGATATTATTGGTCTTATCGCCGACCCTACATATCACGCTTGGGTAGGTGCGCTTAGTTACAGCTCTTCTTCTGCGGTACCCATAAAACTTTCAAGTACTCGGAGTGCATATGGTCGAAAGTGGACGCGTTGAAATTGGTCCCACAAATTCCAAAGGGAACAGTACTCGCCTGGCTCTCCATAAGATATCTTCTGGGAGGATGCCTCCAAATATTGGCTCCTAACGCACAATTGGGAAACCAGAGAAAATCTATCAATGATTCTCTCGTTAACGCGTATACTTATATTTAAATGTGACCTTCCCTTTTTCGTATAGTAAGTTCCAGCCGTTCGTATTATATGATAATTACCGTATTTCCATTTATTTTCTTTGAGACAACGTACATGAGATAGAACGCGTATCCCTTTAACTACTCTAGGGTTACTCAATTTTGACCTAGTTTCTCCCACTGTTACAAAGGGATTATCAGAGGGAGGAAGTACCAACTTCATGCACGAAGTGTCTTGTAGGTTCTACTTGGGCAACTGCTACCGATAGGATCATGGTGAATATACTTAGCATTAGGACTACTGTAAAGTGATGGGGTATTACTCGTGCTATGCTCACAAAGTTTTCTGAATAGTTCACGCGTTGCTTTGAACGAAAGTTATAACGTGAGCCTATTTCTCCCGTGTGATTGTCTTTAATTCTAGAGTTTTCCTCCGATGTTTTTGCATCGTCCCGACTTTCTTCTCCTCGTACCTCGTCTTGAAGCTCGTCGTCAATTTCTAAGGGGACTAGCAGGTTCACAGGCCGTCGGATTCTACGATGAGATGGGAGAAGAACAACTGCTTCTCTTACTATTCCGTTGCTGTTTGAAACTAAAGTTTCGATTCGTCCCATTTTCCAGCAGTGCCGTGGTTGAAGTGCGTCGCTGATGAGGACTACTTTACCTATCTTCGGTACGTAGCTGCTTCCTCGTTGCTTCCCAACTTCTCGTTGGTGACGTTCTCGTAGCGAAGTTAAGTACTCTGTCTGCCATATTTGCCAAAACCTTTCTGGCATCTCACAAGAACTTTTCAAGGCTTCCATCACTTGAATTTTCGATTGCAGTGTCACGCGTTCTTCTGCGGAGATGTAAGTCGGATCTTCACTGATTTCTGAACTCGAATTCAAGAGAAGCGGAATTTCGAAGTTGTTCTGTAAGAAGTCGATCGGTCGTAATGTGCTGTTCTCGCGCGGTCCTGATTCAGTATATACCAGTGGTCTAGTGTTGAGCATCGCTTCTATCTCCGTAAGAACAGTGATGAGCTCCTCATGGGTTGGAACTGACCTTCCTTGGAATTTGTACAGAGCTAATTTAACTGATCTTATTAAGCGCTCATAGACTCCTCCCTGCCAGGGTGCAAAAGGGGTGATGTATTTCCAGCGAATTTCGTTGTTACTTACTATTTTTGCGATCGTTGAGTCGTTCTGAACATTTCTTATGTACTCTTGCAGAACGGAATCGCCAAGCGTAAACGTCGGTGCGTTGTCGCTTGTTATAGTTGATGGGAATCCTCTTCTTGCAAAGAACCTACGAAGCATTTGTATAAAGGCGTAGGTGGAAAGATCCGAGGCAACATCCAGATGAATCAAACGAGTTGTTAGGCAGGTGATAATACAGCCGTAACATTTTCCCATCAGTATAGTTGCCGTGACGTTGAGCCTTGCTGAACACTGGAGCGTGCAATATGACCGGCACACGTGTAAGAGGTCCGCTGGGGCCGGGTGCAGCGGCGAAGGGATGGATCCCCAGTCCATACGTGTTTTGGGGAGCCGGGGTTTACTGCACGCGGCCCCTGATCGGAGCTAAGCTTGGACGAGCAGTATAACACCTAGCTCCGAGACCAATCGGATGCAGCCCTCCAAATTTTTTGCGGCGGTCGCCTTATCGCTCAAGTTCCCGCCCCGCAGCTTACGCGGCAGTGGAGCAAACTCCAGCCAGTCGCATTGCCCTAGCTGCCTCGTCTCCATGTCGTCTCTTTCTATGGCGATGGCGCTCCGTAGTTGACGATCACATTGTCTCGTCAAGATCGCAGAGGAAACAACGAAAAAGCGATGAAATGTGGCACTGTGCGCTCTACAGCAAACGCGGTTACGGTGGAACTTACGCAACAATTCTGAGAAATCGTTTCTCTTTTAGACATAGGTATGTAGATCAAGCGCTCGCAATCTCGGTTCTCGCTGACATGCATATGTCCTATCTTCCCGAGAAATTCTCTGCTGCTGATCAAACTACCCCAAACAGTAATAATACAATCTGCCTTCAAGGTCCAGAGGTGAAACTAAAGAATAGTTCCAGGTCAAACTTTGTATGGTGTTCCCAAACAGTGCCTCTTTCGAATGTTGAGCTTAAGGGGGGGGGGGGGGTGGGCTAAATAGGTGAATTCATGGTGATATATTGATATGCACAAAGTTTGACTTACCGTTTGATCACATCATCACTGACAATGCACTTCTTGCAGAATGCCTTAAAATCCACGAGAAAGCGACCGACTCCACATTCCGCCGCGTCAGAACGATACGGCAGAGTCGACAGGGACCGCACCTCTAAAACAAAGTATATAGTGACATTCTCTCACAACATTCCCTTACCATTGTCCACTGTGGTCTCTCCCATGTCCCCAGCTGCCCACTTCGCTGCTAGGCGCATTCACAAACCGAACCCACATGTTCGAAACTCCATTATTTTTCTGAACAAAACTGTTTGCGAATAAGAAACTGGCGCTCATCCAGTAAGGGGGGCATCAAGTGGCTGCCCTCACCCCCCCCCCCCCCCTAGACTGCCTACACTCCCCCTGGCGCACAGGTTTCTCGAAGTACGGGACCCCGTGAGCCAGGGGGAGTGAAGGCAGTCTAGGGGGTGGGGGTGAGGGCAGCCACTTGACGTTGCATCACAATGCCCCCCCCCTTACTGGATGAGACCCAAAAACTTGCTTAAGCTTCGC